CTTGGTGGCCAGCATGAACCAGTATGTGAGACCCCGGGAGGGAAGAGCTTTCCTCCCGCTCCACGCTGGGAATATGGGGGGTCCCACACTGGGATAACCGGGAATGGGGCAAAGCTGAAGCCGTCCCCAGGCCGGGTCCCCGCAGGGTGTTTGTCTTGGAGGCTGTGGCCGGCGTCGTGGGAAAAGGCTGGGGAAGGAGGGGGGCAAGGCCTGACACCGATCCTGCTCCGTCCCCAGCGTCCTCACCAGGTGGTATTCCAGGGTGGTTTTCCAGATGCCGCACCAGGAGATCGCCGACAGCCTCCGGCTCTGCGTGGCCGATGCGCTCCAGCACTTCCATGAGGTGAGGCCGAGCCTCGGGGTTGGTGCTGTCACAGAAACCTCCCCGTGGGTTCCTTTGTCCTCCAAACAAGTTCCAAGCACCCCAAAGCTGTGTGTGTGAGTACGTGTGAGCGAGCAGACACCTGAGCAGCCTTTGGACTGATGCGGTGCCCAGGGAGCCGCGGCCTTATCTCGGGAACGTGTGAACCTCCCTCCAGGATTAGTTTGCACTGGGGGAAGTGCCACGTTTCAGCTCTGCTCGGAGCAACATCAAAGCGCTGAGCCCGGGCCCCTTCTCCCACGTCCCAGCATGAGAAAAGCAGCGTGTGATGGGGCAGGGAGGCAGGATCTTCCCTTGGGAGTCTTCCCATCCCACTGCGGGTGTGGGAGGAACACCCTGGAAAACCTGGAGAGGGGCTTTGGACAAGGGATTGAGGGACAGGACAAGGGGAATGGCTTGAACCTGCCAGAGGGGAGATTGAGATGAGCTCTGGGGCAGAAGCTCTTCCCTGTGAGGGTGCTGAGGCGCTGGCACAGGGTGCCCAGAGCAGCTGTGGCTGCCCCATCCCTGGCAGTGTTCAAGGCCAGGTTGGACACAGGGGCTTGGAGCAACCTGCTCCAGTGGAAGGTGTCCCTGCCCGTGGCAGGGGTTGGAGCTGGATTCTGTGGTTCCATGAAAAGTGGCAGTTTTCTGGGCACACTTGGGACTTTCCACAAAGCTCGAGGGTGATGTGGTGAATTCACAGCTACCAGAGCACTGAATTTGTGCCCAGCTCCTCACCAGGGCCTGTGTCCCCCCCCCCCATCAGCATGTCCTGCACAGGGGGAGGGGGGAATAACCCCAGTGGGTTTCTGCAATTCCTGCTTTCCCAGATGAACCACTGCTTGCCCAAGAAGATCGTGGTGTACCGGGACGGCGTGTCCGACAGCCAGCTCGACACCGTGCTCAAGTACGAGATCCCGCAGATGCAGAAGTGCTTCGACACCTTTGAGAACTACGAGCCGGGCATGGTGGTGGTGGTGGTGCAGAAGCAGAACAGCACCAACTTCTACACCCTGACAGAGGAGCAGTTCGTGTCCCCTCCGCCGGGGACGGTCATTGACCACACGGTCACCAGCTCCCAGTGGTGAGTGGCAATGACAGACACTGGTGGCCTTTGGGAGGGGGTGCAGAAGACACTCTGGAATGTAAAAACCTCTTCCACAGAATCCCTAGAAACCCTTTTCCATAGAAATCCTTTCATGGAATGGTTTGTGTTGGAAGAGACCTTAAAGCTCCTCCAGCCCCAACCCCTGCCCCGGGCAGGGACACCTTCCACTAGAGCAGGTTGCTCCAAGCCCCTGTGTCCAACCTGGCCTTGAACACTGCCAGGGATGGGGCAGCCACAGCTTCCCTGGACAACCTGTTTCCCTTCCCCTTCCCTCCCTCCCAGGCAGGATTTCTTCCTGCTGGCCCATCACTCGCGGCAGGGCTGCAGCATCCCCACGCGCTACATCTGCTTGCTCAACACGGCCAACCTCAGCTTCGAGCACATGCAGAGGTAGGGGCAGGCTTCCTGCACGTGGGGAGCCACCTCCAAGCCCTCTTTTGGGTGGGTTCTGCACAGTAATCCCCTGGAGAGAGTGGGGAGAGCAGTGGGGGGGGTGCAGGCACTGAGGTGGGTGTTCGCTTTGCACTGGGTTGGCAGGGAGGGCTTGGATGAGGAGGAGGAGGCAGAGTGCAGGCATCTGCCTCTTCTTCGGGCAGGAATGGCAATAGGGGAGAATCAGTGTCATAGAATCATGGAATCATGGAATTGGTTTGGAAAGGAGCTTAAAGCTCCTCCAGCTCCAACCCCTGCCCCGGGCAGGGACACCTTCCACTAGAGCAGGTTGCTCCAAGCCCCTGTGTCCAACCTGGCCTTGAACACTGCCAGGGATGGGGCAGCCCCAGCTTCTCTGGGCACCCTGTGCCCGTGTCCCGTGGCTCGGGGCCGCTCTCACGCGTGTCCCCTCGCTGTGCCCAGGCTCACGTTCAAGCTGTGCCACCTCTACTGGAACTGGCCGGGCACGGTGCGTGTCCCGGCGCCCTGCAGGTACGCGCACAAGCTGGCCTTCCTGTCGGGGCAGGTCCTGCACCACGAGCCCAGCGCCCAGCTCTGCGACAAGCTCTTCTTCCTCTGACCCGCGCGAGGAGCGTGGGGAGGGCTCCGCGCTCAGCCTGCTCTGCCGGGGTTTACGGGTTGTGTTCTGCACACGCTGTCTTAGGTTCCTTTCTGTTGGGTTAAAAGGGTGCTCGGACCCCTCCCGC